CCTCCCCAGCCAGGCTCGCCCATCGCCTGGCCCTGGCCCTGGCCCTGCCCTCCCCAGCCTGGCTCGCCCATCGCCTGGCCCTGGCCCTGGCCCTGCCCTCCCCAGCCTGGCTCGCCCCGCCCCTGGCCACATCTTTCTCAGCCTGCCCCACCCTTCCCCTGGCTCTGGCCAAGCCCTCTCCAGTTCACTGAACCCAGTTCCCAGTACTTATCCAACCCCTGCCTCATCATCCCTACAAACGGCATCCAAAAGCCCCACCCAGGCTAGATCTCCACAGAGCACGTCGAACCCTGAGGATGCTGACACCCCGGCTTTGATAGGTACGTGGGACTTATCTGATGCGGACTCTTGGATCCAGGGCCTTCTGGAGCCTCAGGCATCCTGACAGCCCTCTACAGGTCTTTAAGAAGCTGTTTAGCTCCATCTCCCTGGGAGTCTGCAGCTCAGCATGATGCCTTAATGTCATCATTCTGTCCCCAACCTTAGTTACCCATCTGACCCCGGAGCAGTGTCAAGTGGCCTCTGGACACATCCCCTGTGTAGTGAGAAGCAATTCAAAGGAAGCCTGTCAACAGGCTGGCTGCTGCTATGACAACACCAGAGCAATCCCTTGTTACTATGGCAACACAGGTACTACCATGTCCTGGATCCTACTCCTAGAATGGGATACAAGAAGAGACCTTTATAAACATGGGTGTGCATATAAAAAGAGACCTTTTGATAGGATGGCCCCAGCTTGTCTTATAAACATTGTCTCAGGGAACTATCCAGAGTCCTCCCTGTCAAGAGCTCAGCCACTAACTGAAAGGTTGGTGGTTCCAATCTACCCAGAGGTGCCTAGGAGGAATGGCCTAATGTTCTGAAATGTCAGTCATTGAAAACTCAGTTCTGATACACATGAAGCCACTATGAGCTATAACTGATGCCATGTTTTGGGATTTTGGATTTAGATGATAAATTATATGATGGCTCTATTCTGAAGCATAGTCCAGTTTTGGTAGTTTTCTTTCCTTTGATAGAGAGTGCTGGTAGGGTGGCCTGAAGGGAGTTGTGCTGCTGATAGAGAGGCAGCAAAGTCTCTAGAGGTTTGACTCAACCATCTGCTCCATGGGAGAAAGATGGGCAATTTCCTCCTGTGCAGTTTATAGCCTTTGAAAACCTGCTAGAGGATCAGCTATGAGTCTGTTCTGACTTGATAACAATGAGGGTTTGGTGCACCCCACCCCACCCTGGACTTGAGATACTAAATTGATAAGGGTTTGCTCAAGATGACAGACACAGGTGAAGAGAAGACCCCAGGTCTCCTAGCCCGATGCTGAGAGGCTGACAGTCACCCTGTCTGTCCCTTTGTCCCCTGGATGAATGCTTAGCCATCTGGCCCTGATCTCTCCCTGATCTGCTCTTGTCAGTTACTGCTCAGTGCTTCAGAGATGGACACATTGTCTTGGTGGTGTCCCAAGAAACAGCCTTGGCACACAGGATCACACTGGCCAATGTCCGCCTGGCCTATGCCCCCACCAGCAGCTGCCCCCCAGCCCAGAAGACGGCTGCGTTTGTGGTCTTCCATTTCCCTCTCACCCACTGTGGGACCACAGTCCAGGTAGGAGGGGGAACGAGGCTGGTGCCCAGTCCCACGCTAGGGGAGGGCCTCACCCAGCGCTGTCTCCACAGGTGGTCAGCAACCAACTCATCTATGGAAACCAGCTCGTGTCTGACATCGACATCCAAACGGGGCCCCGGGGCTCCATCACGAGGGACAGCAGCTTCCGGTGAGGGGAGCCCTCCCTGAACGGGCTGGGCTGTGGGCTGGGGTGTCTGGGAGCACAGAGTAACTTAAAGCAGGCTTTAGTGCAGACAGGGTTCAAATCCAAGCTGATACCTGGGCAAAACTACTTCCTCTTCCTCGTTTTCCAGCCACTAAATTAAAAGGCAAAAACAGAACAAAGTCTAGTTCCAACTCATGACAAACCAGAGTGTACAGAATAAAATACGCCCTATAGAAATTCCAAGTTTTCAGACGTAGAGCACCAGGCCTGCCTTCTAAGGTGCCTGAGTAGGTTTGAACTACCAGACTTTTGGTTAGTAGTCAGTCAAGTGCTTAAGTCTGTTCTGTGTAGACTTTGAACAGCTCCAGCTGGTGTGAAGGCTCTGACATCTCCCAGATGGCAGCTGGGAGCCATGAGGGGTTGGAACCCTGAGAACAAGGCTTTTATTCCTCAAACACACTTAGAACAACCAGCATGGCCTCTTCTGGGCCACAGAAAGAGGCTGAGGTGGTCTCTGATGTTAGAGGCTGTGGAGCCACAGATCAGGTGGGAAGATACTCCTTGAGGAAGCCCTGTGAGGGTGGGGGAGGGAGAAGCTGGAGCAAGAGCCCCCTCACCCACCCACCTAGGGACGCAGGTCAGCCGAGCCTGCTGACTCAGGGGGACCAGCCACCCTGGGAGCCCCCAAGAGACAGCAGGTGCCCCCAGGAGAATCTGTGCTCTTCACTCCAGCTGAGTCCCTACTGTCACTGTGACCAGGAACGAGCTGCCCGAGCTCGGCGTGTGATGGAGAAACCACGGCATCCAGTCGATTCTGACTCCCTCGGCCCTACGAGGCAGAGCAGACAGGCCCCATGGGGTTTCCTAAGCTGTAAGCTTTACAACTGCCACCTCTTCCCGTGGAGGAGGCAGTGGGCTCCCGTCACTGGCCCTACTGTTAAATAAGTGCTTAACTGCTGTGCCACCAGAGCTCCTGGAGACCACTGTCAATGTTAGGTGCCATCGAGCTGAGTATGACTCTCCGCGAGTGACCTCACGAAGAGATCTGAACCCTGGCTACCCTGTGCCATAATCTGACACGTGAGCCCATTGCTGCAGTCACTGTCACCTACCTGGCTGAGCGTCTTCGCTCCTTCGCTGTTCCTCCACTAATGACTTCTGGGCTGTGGAAATTCTGTGCAAGGCTTCCCATGAGGCGGGGCAGGTGTTGAAGCTAGTGTCTTAAAGGTCAGGTTCCTGCACGGTGAGGCTGGCTCATGCTTTCAGTTCTTAAATTTAAGAGCCGTGGGGTGATATAGAGTCCAACACAGCATGGCCAGGTGTGAAGAACGAGGGTGCGGAGGAGATGAGCAGGCACGGCCGTGAGGAAGTGGCAGAAGGGGCCTCAGAGGATGCAGAGGGCTTAGGATCTGAAGTCCTGGGGCGGCCAGAACAGAGCCACACATGTGTTGGTTCAGTTCTGGAGCCCATAGTCTGAAAGCCATTGAAAGGGCCAGATGCTTGTTGTTGGGTGCCATCTTTCAACTCCTAGCAACCTAAGTAACCGTATAACTGCCCTGGTTAAGTAACCGTATAACTGCCCTGGTTAAGTAACCGTATAACTGCCCTGGTTAAGTAACCGTATAACTGCTCTGGTTAAGTGCACCACTGTTTTTTTGTTGTTGTTGGTTTTTTTGTTTTGTTTTTTTTTTTTTTTACATATCAAGTCTTTTCTCTCATGAAGCTTATTTTTTATTTTGTGTGCGTGTACCGTCAGATCAGATCTGACTGGTACAGGAGGAGATCGCCCCTCCTTCCCCGGCAGAGCATCTGGTGGATTCAAACCGTGCGCCTCTGGGATTGTAGTAGCAGCTCCTTGCCACTAGGCCACCAGAGCTCCCCAAAGTACACCACTGTTAACGGAAAGGTCTGCAATTCAAACTACCACCTGCTCGAAGAGAAAAGACCTGACAGCCAGCTCCTAGGATTGCAGCCCAGGAAGCCCAAGGGGACAGTTCTACTTGTCCTGTGGGGTCACCAGGAGTCAGAATCCATGGACTAGATCCTTTTTTTAAAATTTTAATTTTTTTGTGTACCATCAAATTGGATCTGACTGGTACAGGAGATTGTCACTCCTTCTCCAGCAGAGCATCTGGTGGATTTGAACCGCACACCTCTAGGATTGCAGTGCAGCTTCTTGTCACTAGGCCACCAGAGCTTCTGGCAGGACCAAGCCTTCCTTGATGGCATCTTCACATGACCATCTTTCCTGTCTTCCCCTAAACACTACTGAGCCTGAATTAGGATGCACCCTATTCCTACATGACATCACGTTAACCGATCACATTGAAGACCCAGACACAGTCCTGTGTCCAGGTATCTGGGGTAGGAGCTGAGTATGACTTTGTGAGGACATGATCCATAGATTGCACAGCCCTCTGTCAGAAGGATAACTTCTCCAAGGACACCCAGCCCAGGCTGGACCCCAGGGTTCTGTCCTTCAACAGAGGCAAAGGCAGACGGAGTTTGGGGGCATGTCTTGGAGAGTACTTCCAGAGAATTTGGCCCAAGAAGGTTGGGGCCTGGGGGTGCAGCTTGGCCCTTAGACTGGAGATCATGGTCCTAAACACAGCAGCAGGCTTGAAGGCATTGTCTTGTGACCCCATTTAATCCATAGATATATAACCAGTCCTCAGCAGGAAGAGGTATTTCCATTTCACAGAAGAGGAAACTGAGGCTTAGCATAAACAACCTATTCCTATGGATGTTAAATAAGAGCTATTCCAGGTCTGTTGGAGGACCTAAAGATATCAACCCTCAAGGCAAACTGTCATCTTCCAGTAGCCACAGCAGATCCCAGAAGGGTCAGGCAACTTGCTCTCTATCCTGCTAGACCTCCTAGAACAGGGCCTGACAGCAGATTTGAATATCTGCAGAGAATGCAAAGGGGAAGTCCAGGAAGTCAGGTTGGGCAGAGCTGGGAGGAAAACTCCCCATCCACTTGAGCAGTGTGTGTTGCCATGGTAACCACTGCCTGCTGGACCACTTGCTGCTGTATCCAGTCAGGACCCAGCTTGTTAATTAACTGAGGTGCTGCTTCTGTCTTCTCTCCCTACCACCCCACACCGACCTCCAGGCTCCATATCCTCTGTATCTTCAAGGCCAGTGACTTTCTGCCTGTCCAAGCATTCGTCTTTCCGGCCCCACTGCTCAGCCCTGTCAACTTGCCCGGTCCGCTGCGCCTGGAGCTCCGGATTGCCAAGGGTATCATGCCACGTTCCCCACCCCCCCACCCCCAGCTTTCTGTCCCATCCCCGGTGCACAGCCACTGGGTTTCACATGCTGTCTCCCTGCAGACCAGACCTTCAGCTCCTACTACGGAGAGGATGACTACCCCGTCTCCAAGCTGCTCCGAGAGCCAGTCCACGTGGAGGTCCGGCTCCTGCAGAGGACAGACCCCCGCGTGGCCCTGGTGCTGCACCAGTGCTGGGCCGCGCCCGGCTCCAGCCCCTTCCAGCAGCCCCAGTGGCCCATCCTGGCAGACGGGTGAGGGGCATGTGTGCCGGAGCCGCCCCAGGGCACTGTCCCTGCCTGCCCACAGCTCGGAGGTCACCTTCATGCTTTCCTTCCCAGGTGCCCTTTTGATGGTGATGGCTACAGAACTCAGATGATGGCCGTGGACGGGGCACTACCCTTCCCATCTCACCGCCAGCGGTTCACTGTGGCCACCTTCGCCTTCCTGGACAAAGCCTCCCGCACTGCCCTCAGGGGACCAGTAAGGAAGGGCCCTATCTGAGTGTAGACAGGCTGACCCCCAACGCTTTCCACGTCCTGGAAGGGAGTACAGACCATTTGCCCCCAAGGGTGGACAAATGAGGGGCCATGGGTAGTGCCACCATTTAATCTGTGTAACTGTTAGCCAAAAGGTGGGAGGTTTGAGTCCACCTGGATGTGCACTGGAAGAAAGGCCTGGTGATCTCACATGTTCGAGGTCCTAAGACTCCATCACATCAGACTCGGGTCAGAGGGGACAAGGCCCGTCTCCCAGCAGCTCTTCAGACAGAGGGCTCGGAGGAGCAGGCTGAGGGTGGGGCTGTATGAGCAGAGCCCCGGGGTGGCAAGACTCCACTGCAGACGCACGTTACTCTGGGAAGCCACACACACAGGTGGCCCGTGCTTAGTCAGTGTGCGGCCTCAGTATCGGGTGGTCCTGGTCAACATGACCAGACTTCTCCTTGCCTGCGTGGCAGCAGCGGGCTCTGGCCTCCTGTCCTTGGTCCTGTGCCCCTGCTACAGCTTACCTGCCCAGTGGTTCGGGACCAGCTCAGCCCCTTAAAAAAAAAAAAAAAAAAAAAAAAAAACAGAAACAAAACTTTGACTCAGGTGAAAACATACCATGGAATATTAGTCTTCCATTCCACAGTTCATGCATCCTACGTTTCAGGACATTAACTACAATCACCAAAGTGTAACAGCACTCTACCCGCCCCCTCCCTGGCGTTCCTATTAGTACTTCTTAGCTTTGTGCAGGGACAAATGCCTTCCTCTGGCCTCTCCAGTGAGAATGTCCTATAGAGGGTTTACCCCAGTGGTGGTATGTTACCCTCTCTAGTGTCTGACTAGGAGCTAAATTACAGATGTGAGTTCAGGTCTAAGTTTGAAGAGCTACCATGGGCTACAGTCTCAGGGGTCCTACCAGGCTCCACTCCCCCACTTCTCAATTCTCTCCTCCCACCAGGTCTACTTCTTCTGCAGCGCATCTGCCTGCTACCCCTCGGGGCCGGAGACCTGCTTGACCACCTGTGACATCGGGGCTGCCAGTGAGTCTAGGGGGTGATCTCAGACTCCCTAAATTTCTGGCTTCTGGGCCACAGAAAGCTAGAAAGCTCTGACACACACACACACCCCCACCCTACCCCCACTCCTGCACAGGACGACGTCGGTTCTCAGGTGACCACGACACTGTCAAGCCCCAAGACATGGTGAGCTCTCCGGGGCTGGTGGCCTTTGAGGACCTCAGTGCACAGGAGCCTACCTTGGAGCCCACAGGTGAGAAGGCTAGTGTGTAATCCCCACAAGAGGGTCTGACAAAATGGGGCAACATGAGCCCAGTAAAGGCAGGAGATGGAGTGACTGAGTCAGGGAATGGAGTGCAGATGTGGGCCATTTAATCTGCAGACAGGCAGCTCAGGCCTGCTCTGTCTGTGGGAGTGTGTTGAAGGGGACCCACTTGGACTCAGAAGCCCTGGCCTGCTGTGTGTGTGGAGGTATGTTGAAGGGAACTAAGTCCTAGGAGCCTCTAAGTCTCGTGTCTCTGGCAGGCTCCAGCAGGAAGGCCGATCCCCAGCTGCTCGTCTGTCTGGTCCTGCCAGCGGCTGCCTTGGTCCTACTGATCGGCGTCTTCTCAGGCCTGAGGCACGTCTAGAGCCAGAAGCTCCAGGAAGCCAATAATGGGATACTAAGGCACAATAAACCATTGTTGGAAACTGCTGGAAATCAGTGTGATACTTACTGACAACAGGAACCCAATTCTTATGTCTTACACTTTGTCCCTGGGTCAGTTCTGACCTTAGAATCATGGCTTCCATCGCAAACACTAGATGTCAGCCCTAGGGTAGAGCCGGGTGTCCCCCAAGACAATGTGGGAGATGGCTTCTCAGCACAAGGAGACAGAGGGTGAAAACAAAGGGGTCAAAGAAGGCTCACCAGAGCTCCGACTGGACACCCTGCTGGTGGCCATCAGGCTAAGGGACCCAGAGTTCTCTGAGGCAAGAGAACTAAACGGAGTTGAAGGAGTTCATGGTGTCCGCTTTGAGTCCACTGCTGAAGCCTCCCAGCTAGATCTTTAACCACCAGCACCTCTCACCCACCCCCTAGGACCCGTCCACACTTGACAGAGGCTTAGCCCAGGGCGGCCAGCATGGAAATGGCCATCTGATGGGTTGGGGCTCATGCTGACCTGTCTGTGCTTCATGGGGGCTTGAATTTGTCTTGGCAGTGAAGATTTTTCCCAACTACCTATAGATTAGCCCAGGAAAGGATAACATTTTCGGGGCAAGGAAGTGTAGGAGTTAGGCCCCGGGGGGAAAGGAGAAGCCTGTGAGCTTGGCTTTAAGCGTCTTTCTGGGCTTGGAAAGAGCAGGCACAGCGGGAGTTGGAAAGCTTCCGGCTGAGGCCCCGTGGCCTTGACATTGCAGTCTCTGCTCCAGTCTGAGCCGTCTTCAGCTGCCCTTGACTCACGGAGGTCCCATTCACAGCAGAACAAAACTCTGCCCCGTGTTAGCCGTTCCTGCGATTTTTCAGAAGTGGTTCAACAGACCTTACTTCCTGGTCCATCTTAGTCCAGAAGCTCGGTGAATGGAGCAGGGTCAAGCATCATAGCAACGATCAAGTTTCCACTGAGAGGTGACTGTGCATAAGGTATCTGGTCAGGACTCGAACCCATCTCTCCTAGCAAAGGGGAGAGCTGCACTGCTCAGTGGCCATGTGCTACTTCTATCCTCAAGGAACAGGTTCAATATAATAACTATAGGGCCAGACTGAGAGTTACAACCATGGCTCTGCCTCTTACTGGCTGTGCAATAGCAGGTGAGCTACTGAACTTCCCGGGCTCCACTTCCCCATCTGTAAAATGGGTCTTATGTCTATTCCCATATGAGTGTTGGATTGAGTTAATAAAAGACCAAGATCGCCACCACAGGCCCAACAATCAACATTACAAGATTGGAGCTGTAAGTGATTTCATCTTGATTGGGTCGACAATCAATACCCTTGGTACCGAAAGTCAGGAAATGAGGGCTGTCGGGGACTTCTCCAAAATACTAAAGAGCAGTGATGTCAGTTTGAAGACTAAGCTGCACCTGACTCGGGCCATGGTCTTCTCAATCCCCTGCTATGCATCAGAGAGCTGGGCAGGGAATAAGGATGACAGAATTGCTACCTTTGAGTTGTGGTGTTGGAGAAGAGCATTGACTATCCCGTGGACTGCCTAAACCCCAGCTATTCCCAGGACAGGGTGCGGCCAGAGCGCTCCTTGGAGGAAAGGATGACCAAGCTTTGTCGTTCATACTTGGGACATGTAGTGAGGCTAGGTTCTTCCTTGAAAAGGGAGGGACATCATGCTTGGAAAGAGGGTCAGCAACAGAGAGGAAGACCCCACTGAGATGGACTGACGCTGTGACTTCAGCAACGGGCTCCAGTGTCTCAGGTAATGAGGACAGCACAGGACAGGGCCGTTGTAGAACAGCTGCTAATGAGGTCACTATGAGCCGTACTCGACTCAGTGGCACTGAATGGCAAGGATAGTCCATGACAGTTGGCCAACTTTTACTGAACGCTGTGACAGAAGCTGTGTCTGGGGAGAAAGTGCAGCCAGAGTGCTCCTTGGAGGCAAAGAAGCTGCATCTTTATCTCACTTTGAACTTGTATTTAACTGAGGCTCCTTCTTGGAAAGGGACGTCATGCTTGGGAAGATGGAGGATCAGGGAAAGAAAGACCCTTAATGAGATGGACTAACAGCGACTTGAGCAACGACATCTAGTGCCGGAGATGATGAGGATGGCCCAGGATAGAGCATGGGTCAGGTCGGCCATTCATAATAGTACTCGATAGGACCTAACAACATAGCAAGAAGAATCAATGCCTTTTTTTCCCCTTTTTTTTAAAATTTAGATTTATTAATTTCAGTAAAAATTTACAGAGACTTTGGATTTCCATTCATTCATTGTTGCACTTTTCTCCCCTCCTAACCCTTCCCCCAGTACACTAACCTCTTGGAAAAGAAAAAAAATCTTTCATTGTTTTATAAACCCTCCCCCAGTTCCACTCCACTATTGTAGCCTTCGCTCTAGACTCCTGTCAGGACAAAAATACCTAATCACATATCCCTTTTAAACAGTTTTCTCCCTCATCTGTTTCAATGCAGTATACATTATTGAACCCATCTTTCTCAGTCTCTCCCCAATCCCAAGGTCAGTCCTGTTTTATGACAGTGGCACCATGCAGTATTTGTCCTTTTGTGACTGAGATACTTCACTCAGCATAATGTCCTCCAGAGTCACCCATTTTGAATAATATTGCATGAGTTCCTTGTTTTTCAATGCAGCATAGTATTCCATTGTGTGAATATACCAGAGCTTCTCTATCCAGTCGTTTGTTGATGGGCACTTAGGTTGTTTCCAACTCTTTGCTATTGTGAACAAAGCTGTGATAAACATGGGTGTGCATATATCTGTTTGGATGTCAGTTATGGTCTCTTTGGGGTATATTCCCAGTAGTGGAATTGCTGTGTCAAATGTTATCTCTATTCGCAACTTTTTGCAAAAGCTCCATATAGCCTTCCACTATGGTTGCACCATTTTACACTCCCACCAACAGTGAATAAGGGTTCCAGTTTCTCCACAACCTCGCCAGCATTTGTTGCTTGCTGTTCTGTTAAATTTTGTTATTCTGACTGGGGTGAGATGATATCTCATAGTTGTTTTAAGAATCAATGCCTCTTAATTGTGCCGTTGGAAAGGAGTACTGAAGACTGCCTGAACTGCCAAATGGAACCAACAGGTCTCTATTGGAGGTGGTGCAACCAAGGTGCTGTTCAAAGGTAAGGATGCAACTTAGTGAAAAGATAGGGAAACTCGGTCTTCTTAGAGGCGAGGATACTGCAGTTCCGTTTCATATCTTCAGCATCCATGCTTCCGAGGACACTCCAGATAAGAAAAGGATGCCGGCTGGAACCAGAACGTTGGCTTCCAGGAGCAGCAATCAGCTTGGCTCCAAAGTAAGGATTATAACTTTTATATTCTTCACAGTTAGTATGAAATCTCTCTCCTACACGTTCTCCCTGTATCCGCCAGGAAGGTAGACTGGCCACATGCAGATGGGAAGACCGAGGCCCAGAGAAAGAACATTAATGAACTAATCTTCAATGCGGATGTCTGGATCTTTCTGTCTCTGTGTTCCATACACAGTTGCTTTGTATGCATCTCAAAGTTGGACAATGAATAAGGATGACAGAAGACAAGTCCTTACTTTTTGCATTGTACTGGCTCAGAGGACCCAATATCCCATGAACTGAAGAAGGAACAGACAAATGTCTCTTGGAGGAAGTGCAGTCAGAGAGCTGCTCAGAGCAACGATGATGCAACTCCATTTCACGTCCTGAGGGCATGTTGCCAAGAGGTACCAGTCCTTGGAAAAAAGACATCATGTCTGGAAAAGGTGGAGGGTCAGGGTTTCTTGTTGAAGACCCCCAGTAAAGCGGATCGAGGCAGTGACTGCAGCCACAGGATTGAGCTTGTCGGGGTTTGAGGATGGCTAGGACAGGGCAAGGTTCACGGGCCTCTGTTGTTGACAGTGTGGCTGTGAGTCCCCTTTAATTACACAATGGCCACCACTAAGGTAGCCCAGGGGGTGTGGTCCCTCAGAAACTGTGGTCATGGCCCAAAGGCCATACCTCTGGTGATTCAACTCCACAGGAGAAAGACAGACAACCTCGTCTCATGTGATTTACAGCCTCTGAAATGAACTAGTGGGTGAGCCCAGTTCAGTTTCCATCCCAAGAACAATGACATTTCTTGAGTTCATTATGGTGAATTTTTCTTCCATCTGCCCCAGATTGAATGCTTCTATCACCTTCTGTCTCATTTGGTTTTCTTCTGTAGGGAGATAAGGCAACAGACCCAGATGGGGGATAAGGAAACCACTGCATTGAGGCTTATCTGGTGGCTGCTGCTGTTCTGTGCGCTGGAGTCGAGTAACTCACAGCAACCCTAGGAACAGATCTACCCTTGCCCTCTCCTGTGCCACCCTCAACCTCTCGAGCATGCTCAAAGCTAACGCCAATCCATATTGGGAGTCTTCCTCTCTTTCTCTGACCCTTCATCTTCCCCTGCATGATGTCTTTTTTGCAAGGAATGCCTCCCCCTGGCAACATGCCCCTAGTATGTGAAATGGAATTGCATCATCCTTGCCTCTAAGAAGCTCTCTGACTGCACTTCGTCCAAGAGAGATTTGTCTGTTCCTTCTGCAGTCCGTGGGATATTGGGTCCTCTGAGCCAGTACAATGCAAAAAGTAAGGACTTGTCTTCTGTCATCCTCATTCATTGTCCAACTTTGAGATGCATACGAAGCAACTGTGTATGGAACACAGAGACAGAAAGATCCAGACATCTGCATTGAAGATTAGTTCATTAACGCTCTTTCTCTGGGCCTCGGTCTTCCCATCTGCATGTGCCCAGTCTACCTTCCTGGCTTATACAGGGAGAACGTGTAGGAGAGAGATTTCATACTAACTGTGAAGAATATAAAAGTTATAATCCTTACTTTGGAGCCAAGCTGATTGCTGCTCTTGGAAGCCAACGTTCTGGTTCCAGCTGGCATCCTTTTCTTACCCAGAGTGTCCTTGGAGGCGTGGATGCTGAAGCTTCATCTCTTATACTTGGGACATGTGGCTGGGAGAGTGAATTCCTTGGGATTGGATATCATGCTTGGAAAGGCAGAGGGCCAGCAAAGGAAACG